CCAATTGGTCTAAAACAATATTTTTCAAATACAAGTCCCCGAAAAAATTCTGAGTGACAGAATGCGCTTCACTTCCTCGATTCAAAAATTTCTTAAAAAGCATAATGTAAACACTTTTAACTTCATCTCACTATCCCCAGACAAATGGTAAAGTAGAAAGAGTAAATCAATCAATAGTAAGTCGACTAACTGTAAAGTAAATCTTCTTCAAAAAGTACCAGACAAGTGCTAGAGCAGTTGTTATCGAATATACAACTCCCTCATACGGTCTAAGTTCCCCAGATACTTACATTTGGTAACCTCCTTTTGAATCTCCAATTGATCAAAATAAATAACCTTCTTAAATGAAGCAAGGCTTAGCAAGAAAGAACTATCGAATACCACCGAAAGAATAAAACTAGATATGACATCAGATTTGTAGAATCTAAATTTTCAACCTGGAGATTTTGTCCTTAAGGAATTTGAATACCCAAATACTAGAAAATTGACCCCACCCTATTCAGGCCCTTATCAGATTGTGAATAAATTATCTGAAGTTAATTATGAAATCATCAGGGAAAATTTTCACACAAAGAAACCGAGATTGTACAAGAGTCAAAATTAAGGTTCTATTACCCACCCAAGAACTTTAAATTACATCATGAATAAATCAAAATTTATAAAAAATAAACTATCCATAATCCTTCTTTTATATTTTATCCTGTCATTTCCCTGAATAGTTGACTTATTTCTCAGTGTCCGAGACCCTTGTCTGTCCCTTTTCCTTTACTGCGGCTCCTTCAAACTTGAGTTTCAGGTTCAATGCACTTTCTCATGTGGAAAACACTCAATTGAGGCAATACTACAAGTAGAGTACTATAGCTTCACATTTCCTTGAGCTCATGTTTTCATATGTTTGTGTTGTAAATTGTAGAACAGTGAAAAAGTTTAATTTCAGTTGTTGAAAACTTCTGAATTTCTTTATGTTTCTGCAGCATCGTGTAAAAACTGTATGGATGTTGGAAGTTAAATTTTGTTTTGTTATAATTAATAAGAGAAAATAGATTACAAATATTTAAACCTAGCAAAATGTGTATTTTCAACAAGAGTAAGAGCTCTAGTATCGTGACATAAAAACTCAATGTTTCAGTGCCAATGCTAATCCATAATTCTAGCGCTAATAAATGATCGGAGATCTCCAAGACCATAAAAGACTGAAATGAGCCTGAATGCAACTCTAATGATTGTACGGACTCATACACAAACTGTGAAGGCATGCCCTAATATAAACTTACAAATTCAGTTATATACTATTTCCTATTGCCGCGTAGCTAACCAGCAATATGTTATTAGTGCTTTTTTGTTCGCACTTATACTATATTATATTCATTAATCTTTTTTATATTTTATATACTGTATTAATTATATTCAATATTTATGTCTATTTTGTAAACATTTTTGTGTGCCTGATATAAATCCAAATCAGTTTCCTACTCTCCTTAATTTCCTAATAACTAAATTTCTGCTCTCCCTATCTGGACTGTCTTGGTCGACGGCCGCGAGCAAGCCTTTTCAGATGGGGGGGGGGATAATCGTAATGATATTTTTAAATCAATTGATTAAATTAAATTCTATTATTTGCTAATATGTGTTGGCGATTCTCTACCTAAATGCATCCTGTCCTAAATTTTGGCGAAATCCTTCTTTAGTATAAAATACATTAACCGTTGCGCCACCAAATCGCCAAACCATAAATCTGTCATATTACAAGTACTTAAGAACACTCCTGATGAGAAATAGCTCACCCCGTGATTTCAATTAATATCGCTGATTGGAGGAGCCTCGTGACGCACACTATGTATAAGTAGGGCTTCTGCTCAAGGTACGAGGAGAATGTTTGTGAGATGGATGCTAATAAACCTACCACTTTAATTCCAAAATTGTTCATTCCTGTGCCCCGCGGCTGCACCAAAACAATAATGTTGAGAAATTACATTTCATATATATATATATAGAGAGAGAGAGAGAGAGACACTAGTCACACCTTAGAAAATACTGCAAGGTAAATGACCTTTCCTACTGCATACAGTTAAATTTAGATGCAACCCTAAAAAAAAAAAAAAAAAAGAGGTATTTTTAAATAATGGAACGTTAACAGAAATGCAAAAATAAGGAGAATAGAACTCAGCAGCTTGCCACTATCAGAAATAGGATTTTTGATGCAGGAAACCAGCTGCCAATGGTAAAGCCTTTTTCTGGCAATTTTTCACGTAGCGTCTCAATATGGATATACCCATTTCTTGGGAAGAATGCAATAGCTTTATTTGCATTGAATGTCGATTTGAAAATTGTCATCATTTTGAATTACCTCCTCAAACAAAAACAAAAAAAAGTTTCTTATGAATAATAATAATAATAATAAATCAAAAAAAATTGCTGCTTGGTTTTGGTTAAAGTTTACTTATATCATTTGGTGACAAATGCCTCTAAACCAAGAGCTAAACAACTGGTTGGCAGTAAAATGGACAAGTACCAAACTGCACAAACATTTCTAAATTGAACGAGCTACATTGACCTATTGTCTTTTAGGATTCTCAAATTATTCCTATAAGTAGCTAAAAAATAGCCTTTTTTAAGTGCAACTTCCCACCCCACCTCGTCAAATAAAAATCCAAGGCCAGCCAAAATTCAGGAACAGAAAAAGTATGGAAATTTAAGTAGATGCAATAGCTTTCAGCAGCTTTCATTCTCAAGTAAACATGGCATATTATCTCTTGAGCAAGAACATCTGTTTAGCTTCTATATATAATTTTTTAAAGCTATTGTTTCCCAACTTAACAAACGGCCATTGATATAATGAAAATGAAATGCAGCACTAAAATGTTTCCTAGACTGTACTCATTGATATCATACCTTTCAACCCAAACTGTTTACTCTGTAATTTATCACAAACTGTTTAGTGTTTGTGTATGCTCATACATTTCATTAATTAAACTCTGAAAAAGATTTTTATAGAAATATCTTTCCCCAAAGCAAGGTCCAAATAAATATTTGCATATATTTCTTGGCATCACATAAATTGCTAAAACCTGAAAGTGTACCTTTCTTAATTCATTTCTTAAACTAGAACACTTATCAATCATTCGACATATATAAAGTGCTGCTTTTTTTTAATACTTGTTTAACATACTGGTAAAACTAAGAATATAATAGATTATGAACTCGTAACATAAATTCTAATAATTTAGATTATTATCTCAACCATTAATACTACTAACTTGATAAAAGGTATTAATCTAAAGTAGTCCATGCACAAACAGTGCATTAACAATTGATACTTAGTATAGGATTATGCTAGCTTGAATAGATGTTTAATACAATTACACCCATAAAAAACTTCATTTCTTTCATAAAAATTTAATATACAAAATTTTTAGCAAAACTTACAGTTCTTGAAATTCTCCACTCAAAGAACCAGATCGCTCTCTCTTAATGGATTTGCTTTTTGTTATTTTTAACTTACGAAAGGAATCCCTGAAAGACTTCTTCAAAGACTTGGATTTTGGAGAAATGTTCGCTAGAACAGTGCTAGTTTCTGAGAAAGATATATTAAAATACATAAGTAAACTTATGAAGTAATTATTGACGGCAAAATGTTTCTATGTTAAATATATATCTTTTAGTTTATAACATATCTGCAAATATTTAAATGTGTCAAATTACAAACACACAGAAACCACATCAAAATAAATTTCTATTACCTGACATATTTAGAGTATATCTGGACGTCACAGATTTCTTTTGCACAATATCATACAGTAGAAAACCATGGGTGATACCTGCTGCTACTCTATAAGATCAATCCATTCATTGCCTTTAAAATTTAATTAAAAATGCACAAATAAGCTATGAAAAGGTATACAAAGCATTATAACATTTTTGTCTGCAATATCAATACACATAATATGCCATATAATGATACTTTACATTGGTTGCAACAATATTTCAACTCAATTCTTTTTTTAATTGCCAGTATAAAAGGAATAAATGATTAAAAAACTCTTACATTTTAACTCTTGAATCATTCTGTACATTAAAAATATGACTTCAAAATTTGTTTAAATTAATGAAATATGAATGATTTGGAAATACTGCAACCTCCATTTTGGAATTTAATCTTCATTAATACTTTAAAAAAATACCTGAAAACATAAAAAGCTATACGAAATAGGTCCTTATTAATTCAACAGTAAAAAAAGTTTCTTGCTCAGAACGTGCACCTGTTAAGGTCAAACAGGCTAATGTTGATTAACCACTTGCGCTACGACTAAACTTAACGGTTGTGATGCTGTTCGCGACAATATATCAAGCGTCAGGTGTAAAAAGTATCTCATTTACGCCGTTCTGCTTCTGTGAGTGCAATTCAGAGCTGTAACTCGAGAAATAAACAATCTCGTTGTTAGGTGACATGTGCACCACGTTATTTGCATTTTTGCGCGCGATTTGAGACAAAAGCATCTCGACATGCGTTGCACGTCTTTTTAGCGCAAGTGGTTAAGTGAGTAACACAACAAACAGATTAACTGATTAAAACATAGTATACAGTCAAAAGTCGTTAATTCGGACACCCATAATCCGGAATGATCTATAATACGGACCTCAAAGCTAAAAACTTTCTGCGCATGCGCCACGTCAACAATGCGCATAGGCGTTTAAGCGTGGTGCGCAAGGCCTTTACCACTGCGCATATGCTGTGCGCAGCGCAAATACGTTTTCGCGTGCGCGTTTTATGTATAACGGACGGTATAATCTAAAAATTATTAATTATCTATTTCAGTTAATGTTGATGATTGCGCTGTTCCTTAATCTTTGAATGGATCTGGCTTATTTTTTTTTGCAGACTGTAAGGCATTTTATAAAGTAACTTGAACTTTCGATTATGCAAATAGAATTTCCCGATTCTGAGCTTCCAAAGGATCGTACAAAACGAAAGTATGTTTCGATGTCATCAAACAAAAAGTGGAATTGCGCAAAAAATGGATAAAGACATGAAGAATGGACAGAGAGTGACAGTAGTGAAACAGAAAAATTTCGATTGACAAGTTAGTCGGTATTCTCGGCACACAATTAACGGGACTGAACAGCGGAACTTTGTAACTGAACAAATTGTGTCTGTTTAGAAATTAAAGAAAAGTATATCACATAAACGAGCAACTTAAAAACTTACATTGAAAGAAATGTTTATAAAGTAAACAAATAAATATTAAGCTTTTTTTGTAAATTTTGATACCCTTAGATTATAACTGTTCTTTTTCATTAATTAAGATTTCATATTTTTAATTTTAAATTTCTGCATGCCATCTTACGAGATTTAAACTGTTGATCTATAATCCGGAATCGCCGAAGTCCCGACGAGTCCGGATTAACGACTTTTGACTGTATCGAGGCTATTTGCCACTGGGAAGAAATGCACTTGTGGAATATTTTCTCTAAGGAAAATTAATTTGTATTCGTGCTGCATATGGGAAAAACTATGGAAAACAAATGTATTTTTTAAATGAGATTAAAGCTTGACCTGAACTAAGAGAGGTTAAGAGGACAAATTTGCCTTTGATAAAAAATGTCTACGATGACAAAATTCCGTATATCCTTTACCATTGGGAATGTAAACATACTACAAAGTTGCATAACAACTAATGCAGCCACAATATAACTTTAAAATTTTACTTTAATACAAATACAATATAGTCTCAGGTATCCAAAAGATTGATTATCAAAACAATGAAGATTTCAAAGAAGTTCATGAATAAAATTCTCAGAACATTTTCTTTCTCTAGTATTTGATAATTTAGTTTTCAGATATTTTAAAACATCCTTTTATCATTATTCATCCTTTACATTTTTTACTTTAGCCATATTTTAAATTCAGTTTGCTTCAGTCTTCAGGAGTTAAATACTTGGACTTGAATTTTATTTATTCTATTAGTTTAATTCTTAAAAACTTTTGATTACCTGACTTCCAATTATTAGTATGTAGAAAACACAACAGCTTATGTTAAGTATGGTTTTATTTCTGAAAGCAACTTTATTGACGAAACGATTAACAGACAAAATAATGTCTTAGGTGAAGCTGGTCATCTTATAGTACAAAATCAAACTTCCTGAGAGACATTCAAAATTACCAATTAATCATTCTTGGATAGAATCCACTAGACTACTTTGGAAAAGTACCAATGTCTTATACTTGGTAACTCTGGAATAGGGCCACTCTCTTGCAGAGTCGATTCGATCACTCTGTAGTAGAGTAACTTGAGCTAACTATTGTGGATTAGACCTTGGCTCTCCCAGCAAGTATGCAACCTCTTAAGCATTGCTTGCACTTCTGCTCTAATCTGATCTGATCTGCCCTGCCACAGCAGGCTACTTGAACAAGATATACAAATTTGGCCAATATTTGCTGCTGGAGTAAAAAAATCTATTTTGTGAATATGCAATATTCCTATCCATGGCACTAAATATAAAGAATGCTTTCAATTAAACAAAGCTAAAATATATTCACAGTTCAGAAAACCAATCAAAATGCATTTACAGCAAATTATAACTTGGGAAATTAACAAATATGAATACCAAATATTCCCACTTCCCTGTTTTGTTGGAAAATGTAATTAAATGCAAAAATAAAATACTTCGCAAGGCTTGAAAAGAAACTTTTATTAAAGGAAATAATGCAATATTCAAAAATAAATTATTTTTTTTAAAGCCTTTTAAAAAATATGGAAATTGGTTATTCAAATAAATCAGTAATAAAACCCATTCTATCTAATTCATTTCAAATGTTGGAAGTTTTAGTATAATTATCTTGCTTATATAAGTACTTTTTCTCCCTATCACTTTGAACACAAAGTTTAATTTATTTTAGGACATAATTTTGATCTACTTGTATAATTTTCAGCTTAGAAATAGTTCTTCTGGAACAAAAACTGGTACTGCAGTGTGCTACTTTTGAATAACAGTGTCAGTCCTTTTATTTTGTTGTGGTGAATTATAGTAATTCTACAGACTGGGGTTAAAGTTTTACAATAATTACACAGCCACAAAATGTTAAATATCCTTGAATGTCAAATCTATAATATTACTCTGATGCTTTGTGTTTTTGTAGTAAATGTAGTGTAAATGGGAAAGGAATAGTGTTGATGGAACTAAATGACTAAACATATAATACACTAATATCAGTACATCTATTCAAATATGCTCTGCAGTACTCTAAATTCTTCATTTAATCTATCTTCCCAGAAAGGATACACACAGTGTAATTTTTCTCTATTGACATTCAAGTAGCATGATTAATATAAAAGTGGGGAATAAATAAGGAAGGAACAAAGTGAATATTAAAAACTAGTTGAGTTTTTATGTATATAAATCAAACTGAATATTTCTTTTGGTGCCTGCATATTGAAACCTATATTAAGACTATTTTACAATGTTTTAATTTAGCCTTTGGTTATGTCAAAGAAATTATCTGTATTTTCAAATGGAATTTCTTTAGTTTCTAAAAGCTCTGTAAATATGAGTAGTGCTTTGTAATTTTGTTAATACCAAATTTCTGCTCTGACAGGAAAAAAAAAAAAAAAAAAAAAAAATTGAGAAGCACGGCTTTTGACTTGACTGCTGTGGAAAATTTATGTTCGCATTTTCCTTATACAGTCAAAAGTCGTTAATTCGGACTCGTCGGGACTTCGGCGATTCCGGATTATCGATTTTTCCGAATTATAGATCATCAGTTTAAATCTGGTAAGATGACATGCAGAAATTATAAATTAGAAATATGAACCGTAATTTATGAATAAAGACAATTATGGTCTAAAGGGTATCAAAATTTACAAAAAAAAGCTTAATATTTTTTGTTTACTTTATTAAACATTTCTTTCAATGTAAGTTGTTTAAGTTGCTTCGTTTTTTATGTGATAATACATTCTCTTTAATTCTATAAACAGACATAATTTCTTGTTAAGTAATTCTTGTTATTTGGGCATTCTTCACTTTTTACTTTTTGTTTTGACTTTTACCCTTGCCTGCATGAATGACGAAACACGAATTGAATGATTGCAGAGTTAGGTTTGGAGGCAACTTCCCCTTGATAAGTCTGTCTCCTGCCTACTTAACAGTCCTTCACTTATGCATTTTAAAAAAATTGTTTGGATTAATTTTAATTTGCTAAGTTAGTGAATTTTTTTCTGGATTGGTTTGCACTTGATTTGCTTATGCTTCTGTTAATGTTGTAGATTAGTAGAGAATTAAATTTTATATGTTTGCCATTTTAAAAAATTTTTTAAAAAATTATTTTGCTTTAATTTGCTTTTTTTTTTTTTTTTTTTTTTTTTTTTTTTTTTTTGGCTTTAAATTTGCTTTTTTTACTTTATACACTTTTGTTAAAATTTAAATTTAAATTTCTTCCTTGCAGCAATGGCACAAAGAATATTTAATTAAATTATTATTTAAATTTAATTTATTTAATTAAATTCAATTTATTTTTATGAAACAATATATATATATTAACAAGGATTTAATAATGAAAACAGTCAGAAACCATTATGCTGTGAGTGCATTTTATCTAATACAGTAGACACTGCTTAATGTGATCACAGTTAAACACTATCATTCAGATGCTGTTATCTGTGTGACGAATTCCCACCTGACTGGCTACGAAAATATGCAAAATGGATGGCCTGTTGTGATCAACAATTCAGTTAAGATGATCAAACTATTATAGAACAAACTTTTTAAACTAAAATAATGTTGCTAAATAAGGATAGATAAGTAGATTCTAAAATGTGCTGACTGACAAAGAAA